AAAGCCAGAGAAAGCACATGCAAGGTGGATAATAGTTTTGCCATTGCAGGAATATTATGATTTGTCTTGGTCTGTGGTTTTATGGCTTAGGTCTTCCATTAAATGTTGTTAATTTGGTCTTCACATAATAGTCCAGACATCAAATGCACTTTCATTCATTGCTGATGAAAACAATAGCTCCTCCTTGTTGCAATTATGCTTAAGAATTAGACATTTTCTTACATTGCCTTTGGAAGGTTTGCTGGTTGTGATATTTTCATATCTTCCATACAATTATTTGGCTCTTAAATGTGTCTCAGTTGCCAGCAGCTTTAGCACACAGCATTTTGAAATATTGGACTTACGTTGTTTGCCCAAACCCTTCCCATTTTTGCAGCTTCTCACAGGAACATATGGAACTGTTCATCAAAGGATTAGTTACAGAAATGGAATAACCTTTACAAAATCTTCCTTGAAATATCACAAATATTATTGTGCTTGTTTAACACGTCAACCGACATCAGCTTTCTTTACCTTGTCCACTCTCAAATGGCTCAAGCAGTAATGAATTGAAATAATTTCCGAACAGCCTCTAAATTCAGACTTAACTCATGGGTAGCAACATTTGTCATTCAGATTACTTGCTGTAATGTACTCGGAGCAGCCGGTGTGCAATTTGTAAATGTGACTGTCATTTTCCCTTCTGTTCACTATGCACTGTTTTTAAAAATTCCATATGATTGGCTGGGTTTATGTGTTCATGAGCGAAAATGTTCTGCAAGCATGTTACTTTATTAGTATTGGGCTCTAACAATTTGCAGTGGATGTTAATTTATATTGAATTGGATGTGGATTTATAGTGCTTTGCTCTAAGGTGTGTGTTTTCAATGGTAGCCATTAGAAATTCAAAATCTGTAATCCAAATCCATTTTTAAATCTCCACAAACCTCTATGTACGTTAGCTTCTACAGGTAATTACACCAAATTATTGTTAAATTCTCAGTTTTAAGTTATTGTGCTCTGTTGATGGAATATTATATGTAGCACCATTGACTTATATTAACACATTTCATTATCCGTGTTGAAATAAACAAATTAGACCAGAACTTAAACATTTTTGTTAGCAAAATTAAATTTTGCAGTGGTATAAATGAGAAAATAACAAACTAAAGAAAAATTGCGACATGGTTGAATTAGAAATGTTATTTGCACTAACTTTTAAAACACCTTTTTTTCTCCTGGTGAACTCTTCAATAACATCATCAAGACCCATGGACACTTGTGTTAAGCTGTTTTGAATTGCTAATAAAATCGTTTAGTTGTTATTCCTTCCCTGTTGATCTGAGGCAGTTCTTTACACTATTCAACAAGTAAAATGACAGTTCTAGAAATCTAGAAATTGTGTGTCTTCAAAGGCAGGTATCCACATAGATTCCCAGGCCTAGCTTGTACATGGTCATTGCTGATTTCTCTTCATGTCAGAACATTAAAGTGTCGGTGTTCTGTAGCGACACAGACATTGCAGATATTCAAAGAACTCAATTGTGTTTTAATCTTTTTTTTCATAGGAAATAAAAGAGACCATATTGTATAGAAAACAGAAAAATTCTGTTGTCTTGAAAAGATGGTGTTATACTTAAATATGAGGTAAAATTGTGTCTATCCCTTTCACAGCTATGGATCCTATGCCATTAAATATTGAAGTACATAACTTCAGTTTTCCTATGATGAACTGTCTTGTGATGTCTTCTACTCTGACTCCCTCCTGGATCTCTGAGATAATTGCCTCAAAATATTGAGAACAAGTTTTTTTTAGTTTGTTTTGATCTTGCGATAATGAGTAAAAGAAAAGTCACTAGCTGGTCACTGCACATATGAATTGTATTTCAAAAGAACTGAAGTATCTTAAGGATGAATGTGTCAGGCATTGATCAGATCTGTAATGAATCCGTGAGAAGGCAATTAATACATTGGAAAAAGACAGTTGTAGATACATTAGTGAAAACATAATACTTCAGAATGGGATGTCCTGTACACTAAAGATAATGTGATGAAAGGTGGTTTTCAAATTGTTTTGCTCTGCTACAAAGTAACAAAAAAAACCTCAGCTTTTAAACTTAGAAAACCGATTTTTCCATTGTGACCAAAAAAAATTGAATAGTATTATCATCCATAAATTTTTGGAATGCTTCATCCAGTACTGGGACACGGGAGATGGAACCTAAAAATCTCCAAGCTGACAGCACCCCAGGAATGAGCCAGAAATGCTAGCCACTGCCCTTGCCAATAGCATTATCAGTTAACATTGAAATGTACCAAAAAGGTTTTCCATAGCCAATAATATAGATTTTAGCAACTAATACTTTCATTTGGGTTGAAAAGTTTTACATTGAAAATCCTTTACTGTCTTTGCATGGTTAATCTTTTAGAAGTACTTGGTTAAAATGTGAGATATGTTTCACACTGCAGCAATAAAGTCTATTGTAATTCCACTGTTAAAATATGTAAGAAAGAGAAGCTTAATTATAGGTGACAGGAAATTGTAGAAGTAGTCATTTGCCATATAACTAAGCGATTTTGGTAGCCACTGATTTACAATTTTTCTAAAGAGCGTACATTAGAAGTTGCACAGTTTGCATTTTGGTGCTGTGGTGCTGTTTAGTGCTTTATGTACAAGTGAGGCAGTGTGTTCATCATTTGTGATGAATTAAGAAGCTAAATATTGCAGACAGAGGGTATAAGTTATAAGTGGTTGCAGACTAGTTACATTTTAAGGAGCTTTAGGGAAAGAACAATGCTTTTTCCACAAGAGATGTTTTCTCCGTGTGAAAAGACACAGTACGCATTTTTCTCAATAAAATCCCATGAAACATCCATGGTTTTGTGTGTTATCAGCACCTTGGAAGAATTCCTGGAGCTGGGTTATAGATATCTGTGAAACGTGCTGTGAAATTAAGTTTATCCTTGAAAAGTCAATTCACTGGAGATGGAGCGACAGGAACCAAGACTGATGAAGTGGTGTTCCCCACTTTTACGGTGATGTGTACGCTAAATAATTAGAGCTACAACACAGAGAAACTGACAAGAGAAGACCTGTTCCCAGGCTGCCACAGGAAGTAAATTGAAGAATCTGCCCTGTCAGTGTCAAAATCAAGTCTTAGAAGCTCAAGGCAGTAGCTCACGGTTTAAAGTTCAGTTTCAGACACTAATCACAGACAATTCATTCAGTGCAAGTGTGAAGAAAAAGAGTGAAGGGGTATTGTTGGAGACATTTGTTGTTAGGAACACAGGCCAGATCTGCATCAATAACTCTGTCTGGAGAGGAGGTGGATAAACAACCTCCAAAAAGTAGATAAAGGCAGATGGAGATGACGTTATTGATCTTAATGTTGGGACAAAAGATCAGTGGCATAAACAGTACTTTTTCTATACAAAAAATAGTTTAAAAAACAAAATGAACCTTATTACTTAATTAGCATTTGTTTTTATAGGAATTCTGCTTTTACCGTGCAAAGGTGAACAATTGAACCTGTTAATTGGTAAGCACAACACATGACAGAGAACTTTGTATGTAGAAGGCTTCAGCTTTCTCAGCCACTGGAAACCTTTCTAAGACAAAGTCTGAACTCCATGTAAATAATCCCAAGAGAAAAACTAAAAGCCTTCAGTACCTTATTGGAAACAAAACACAAGAAATGGAAGCTACTGCATGATCAGGTTATTATGATGCAATTAGAACACAGAAGACTGTCCAACAGCTAGATGGTGAAGAATACAACATTTTCATTTTGAAAAGACCAGGAATAAAGCAGTGAAGGTGAACCACTTCACAGGAATCAAATCTACATCCAAACATAGGATGCTAACCTAGATGAATCGAGGGTCTCACTGTATAGAGGTTTGACGTAAAAACATTTAAATGAAGCAGTGTCAGGAGTATGCTACATTCCACTAATTTCAGATTTTTAATTGTGATGCATTCATGTATAAAGAAACTGGAGATATACAAAACAAGGTAAAAGTAGAAGTGGTTAAAGAAGTTTTTATTTCCTTAAATAGATAAACCATCAGGGATATCAAAACTGAAATGGTAGACACGTATAATGATTTGTACTTGGTTTATCAAAGCACCAACTAGAAGGAAAGTTTTTTGTAATTAGAAAGTAAAACAGAGGTTAAGGTAGCTGTGTTGTGATCACACAGTTTCAGGAAAGAATGCTGGATAAATGGATGTTTTAGAGAAATGGAATGTAATCGGATTAATCTGAACTCAGTAGAGAATGAATAGCTACAATTTAAACATATTCTGCTTGAAGTGCAAAACACGTTCTAATGCAATCAAAGACTAAAAAGAAAAATAATTTACTAAATTAAAGAAGTATAGAGTGAATGAAAGTACTGCATAAAATGATTACAAATAAGATCCAGTTAAATTAAAGGAGAATAATAAAAATGATATTGTAAAGGACAAGAGGGGTTGAAAGAATATTACAATGGGGATTTAAAAATAAAGTTAGTTTTACTACTGCAAAAGAACAGTGAAGAATAAAGTTTCCCATAGCTACAGTATAAATGGAAACGTATGGAGAGTAATTCTTTTAATTCAATATTTTATATTCAGTATAAAGAAGTCAATAACAGACTTTTTCTTGGAATAGAAAAGGAAGAAGTGTTACATGAACTAGAAACACTTAAGGAGCTGAGATGTTATTCAGATGTCATTAGCAAAACTCAAACAGCAATATCAAGTTCTATATAAACCCATTAAGGGGCTTTGCTTAATGGACTTCAGATTTAACTGACAAAATCTGCTAAAGTACAGTTATGTTAGCTAAATCAGATATAGTGGACTTTCCCTACAATAATGCCAAAATGCACAAATGATAAAACAAAGAAGTACTATAGAAGTACTTCAACTAGTATACTGTAGGTTTACAATTTAGGAATATCAGTGGTGCCCTATGGGGAAGATCAGTGGCTTGTGATACTGTGAATTTTACACAGTATATTTATGACACATGGAATAAAGTGCTCTTATATGTATGATAAAAAAGGCACAGGAACAATAAGTCAAAAGATCCAGACAGCATGTATATTTCTCTTAATAGTGTGTTTTTGTGCTGAAGAAGCATCAGTCGTAATTTAGTGGACATTCAATAACTGTTTATGAACAGGCCTCACTGTTTATGAAATTGACAAAAATACATTTATTGTATTTGATCTTTTTGTATGTGATATATCTTTATAGTGGAAAGCAACAAGTAACCATGGTACAACTTCTTTTTTTCCTTTTTTTGTACAGAGGACAGATGATTTCAGCAGAGGATTGTGAATTCATTAAGAAGTTTGAATTGGCTCGTTCAGAAGAGAAGCAAGTAATACTGAGTAAAGAAGGAAATCAGGTGAACTATTTAGAAAAAACAAAACTTTCTTCATGCTTTCATACATACCAAAGAATTATTCCTGTTCAGTGTGAATGTTTTTGACATTTATAGCCTTTTAAAATAGGAATCCAAGCTTTGAAAAGTATTACAAACTCACATTAAATCGTAAATTTGACAATAGTCTGATACTTAATGTTATTTTTGGTTAGCAAGAGGGTTTGCACTTCTGCCTTATAAAAGCCTACAATATAAATAGTGAGTTTGTAATTGTAATTTACCATATTTTTACAAGCATAATTACCATTACCAAGTTAAAATAAAAATAAAAATCTTTGCTAAAAGTTTGATCGTTGTTGGTGTGTGCTTGGCTTATATCTTGACATCTATCCAGGGTGTTAAAATAGTACATTTTCATCCTGTAATAACAATCAGCTCTAACTGATGTATATTTTTCTGTCACAGTGTGCAAAAACATTTCTTAACCTTATGGCGCACATCTCTAAGGAGCAGACGGTACAGTACATCTTGACCATGATTGATGACACATTGCAGGTAAAAATGGGAGGCTCAGTTAATGTTTTGATATGAAATGTGTGATTTCTAATAATAAATTAACACATCAACCCACTTTTCATATTGTAAAAATAAATTAAAAAACCATGAGGATGATGATGACAGTGATGAAGGGGGGAGGAGGAAGTGAAATGCTTTGGGAAGAGGGGTCATCTGTAGAGTAGCAGGATCGTCTGCATTGGTTTCAGGAAGTTCAGCTGCGGCTTTAGACAGCTCTTACTGATGGCAAAGGCTCTTTTGACATTTTTAAAGAAAGCATGAAGTATTGGCTGCAGCGTTTTCTTTCTGAGGTGAGTTGACGCCTGTTTATGAGGTCATACCAAATTTGAGGCTTTGGATCAAGAAAGGATAGATCTCAGTGTACACATTTGCTGCCTCAGATACTGTACATGTAAAGATCTTGCCTAGTGTTTATTTCACTTTCATGCTAAAATCCTCCTTCTTCTGTTCCTCCTCATCATCTCTTGGTGGTGTAGTCAGCTCGAGATCTTCTTCCGGTAGCTCCTAAGAGTGAAGCAACACTCTTGCAGAAGGATCAGCTCTCACCTTTATGAGCACAGTTGGGAAACCAGTCAAATCTCTCTCAGTCTCCTTACAATTTTTTTTTTCAAGCTGAAATAGAGGTGTTTTTTATTTCATTAAGTGATTCTTTTGGTAATAGAGCATATGTCATCGTGTATTATTTCCAAGCTTATTTCAGTGTCAGGTTAGTGTTATTTAACACCATTATTAACAAGGTCAAAAGTGAGGTGCGCTTCATAGGTCTTGAAAGCTTTTATGATGCCTTATGATGACCTGAGGGCCGGAGGACTGAGAGGGTGTCTGCGGTAGGGAAATTACTTCACGAATTGTTGAATAAAGAGTAAGTCTTCAGGAAGCCCAGAAACCTTGTCAAAAATCATCAACACCTTGAATGCCAGATTATTTTGTTTTAAATAGCGATGTACCTCATGAAACCAGTCCATGAAAAAAGCAGCTCTTACTCATAACTTCCTTTTCACTCTGCAGAAAACAGGAAGATTATTCTTGTTTTTCCCCTTAAGGGTGTGTGGAGTAAGCTTTCTATTTTAAAGCACGAGATTCACCGTGACGTCACCTTAAGCATTTGAACAAAATCAAAGTGTTATCCTATCCCTTGGAGCCTTGAAACCTTGAGCCTTGATCTCATCTTTTGTAATGAACGTGCAATCAGGAATATACTTTTATAATAGCTCAGTCTCATCAGCCTGGAAAACTTGATCAAGCAAATAGCCTTTTTCATCAGGCATCTTCTTCAGTACAGCTGGAAACTTGGATGCTGCCTCCTCATCTGCTGTTGCTGTCCCCTCTGCTACTTTACCCTTATGTAGATTATAAGGGTTTTTAAAGTTATTAAACTACCCTTTTTTCACAAGAAACTTTCCAGTCTCCCTCTCCTGACCTTTCAACAAGATGCATGTAAATTATCTTAGCTTTGTTAAACATTATATGCATACTGGGGCGTTTTTTTCTACATCTGATATTCAATTCAAATTGTTCAAAGCCTTTTTTAAATTTTTTTCAGTGTTCAGCCCACGTCATGTACGAAGCTTTAAGTGAAGACGGCATACCACTGGGAACACTTGCTCTGATAGCAGCCTCATTTGTCTTTATTGTCCGAATCGCGGATTCATTAACACCTAATAATCTACGGACAGCACTATTGCTTTGATCTTCTTGCAATGTATAAAGAACATTTTATTTAATCCTTTAGAGACTTAACTGATCTTGCAAGCATAGCAATACTTGATTCTCCATCCTTTCCCATATGCTTAGGAGACATTTTAATTGCTTATTAATCTACTGTATATAAATATTTGAGAAATTATACAGTATAATTATATTTTAGTGACTGTGGTACTAACGCAATGATCAGCTATCCTCATTTAATCAACTATCAATGTGAAATATAATACACTACACATCATGCATAGCACTTAAAGCATGGACTTGTTAGAGTTAACAAGAGGACGTCTAAACATGTCAGTTCATATACATAACTATGATGGGTCGTGGTAGACAAACAGTTATACAGAAGTATAATCAAAATCTAGTTTGGTTCACTTATGATTGGTGATTACTGTATGTGTGCGAGTCTGCCACTTTGGAGCTGATAACATTGCTTTTTTCAAGTAAGGGCTAGATGAGATCCTTTGATCAACTAAAAACCCAATTAGCCAGAAAGGCCTCCTCTCTTTTATGAACCTTATGTGAAAATCATATTCTTGAATAAAATTGAGACAGCCATTTCTTTTTCTTTCTTTGCAGTTAATACATGCCCTGCAATGCTTGCTCCTGTTGAAAAATTGTTTGCCCAATTATCTCCAATCATGGCAATTATCCATGCAGTGGAAATACTTTTAACATCAGACTCGCTGCTGGTTTTTGTTTATCAAGATAGTGGCAAGGCTGTCATTTTGTTCTCACCGCTCGAATTGTTTCTGTCTTGGGAACGGTCTTGCAAAATCAATTCAGTTGAAACTTGACAGATCCATGGCCAAATTAAGATGCTTCTGATTAAGACGTTAAGGTGGTTAATTTTCCTACCATCAAGCACTTAGTGAAACATTTCATATGGGTCCTGTTTAAAGTGGGTTTAGTAAACATTGTAGGTATCAATGTAGTCTGAAGTCTTCATTTCCTGTGTTCTGAAATCCTCAACTAAGTAAAGTCCATGTAAGCCTGTATGCTCCTTCAGTCTCATGGCTGCAATTGCTTGATAGCCTTGGGAGGAATTCCGTTCTTAAGGAAAACAAAGTTTTCCTACTTTGTTATAGTTTTCATTAGGAAAAAGATATAATGAAATTCTTCTTAACTTAATGACATGTTTAAGAAGGCATCCCACCCCTACTTTGATTTACATGCTGTCTGTCCCAAACTGCAGCAAAACAGTAAAAAGGGACAAAATAACAAAAAGCAAAAAGAAAATAGCTTAGGTATAAACCTTGAGTGATTTCCCCCTGTTGTGAGTACAGTTATTTCAGTTTCAGTAAGCTGTCCTTTGAGTTGAGATTTATTTGAGAGACAAAATCGCTTTCAGTGCTAACATAACTCTTCCAGTTAATCAATGACTGATAAATATCACCCAAATGCCTTCTTGTACAGACATTTGCTTTCATCCATCCTATAACCAGCGTGCTTTGATACTCTGTAGTCCAATACAAATTTCAAAATAAAAAATAGGGTGTCTCCGTTGCCTCATTTAAAGGCAAAGCAATAACTATTCAGTCTAGGGAGTTAGAGGCAATCAATACTGCAATATGTGTAATTAATGTCATGCTCTTAGTTTTGCTCCAGAGCTTTGGTAGTATAGTTATGAACTGCTGGACGTATGTTATGATGTTTGTGAGGGTCAAGGGGGCTGTGTAGCTGCCTCACATTTCCAGGCACATGTGTGCACTTTTGGCTATGGTATCTGTGTGGAGTTTGCTTGTTCTTGTGTTCTTATACTGTACCTGTAGTTTTTTTCCAGGTGCTATGGTTTCCTCCCACAATTTGAAAGATGTTCTGGCTTAATTTGGTTGTATACATTTTTGGTTGTAAAATGTTCCTTTCTCCATGTCCCTGCAGTGCACTGACATCCTGCCCAGGGGAAAAAGAATTGTACGCTTTCAGACCTGCCTTGCACCATACTGTATGTTTCCAGAATTGGCTGTAGCTTGTAAAATCCAGACTAAAAGCCAGGGGTACCTAGGAGAATTATTCCTGGATACGTGCTTTGCTCTTTGATCCTAATTGCATTTTACCATTTAGTACCAATTAATTTTTAAATTGAACTAAGATTCAGTTTGAGCTCAAATCTAGTTCAAATGCTGGTCCTATTCTCAGATGTGTTTAAAGCTTTTAGGTCTGTGGAATTACATCTTATTAATGTGTAATTTGCTTTCGTTAAAAAAAATTGTGGGAATTTAGGCACTCAAAATCTTAGAAAAGCTTGACTTGGAGGCGCTAGGGATATTAACCAAGTGCATTGGTTGCTCTAAACACAAAATCAGAAAATTACAGCAGTAAAGCTGCCAATAAGAGTTCAGCCAAATCGTGTCCTACCCCTTTTATTTTAGATTTAAAATAGCATTTTTACTTTGTAGAATGAGACATGCACTAATGGACCCTCCTATAACACTAAATTCACTAATGTCTTTTTGTCAATGAAAAATTTGCCTTCTGCTGGTTTGTATTATAATGTGATTTAATAGAGACTGTTGAAAATATAATGCAGATTACCTTTTATTGAATTATAACCTGCCCTGCACAAAACAATCATAGCTTAGACATTGTCATTATATAAAAGCCAAATACAATGGTAAATGAGGCAAAATGGGCACACTTTCACAATGTTTTAAAATTTAAAGGTGCATTTGAATCAATCAAATGATTACAGAATAATAGTAGTCCTCCACGTCATACAGAATTGATTTTAAAAACGTAAGGTCAGTAGTGGGGTGGCACAGTGGTAGGCATTCCTGCCCTGCAGTGTGGGTTGCTAGGTTCAATTCTTGGAGTGCTATCTGCGTGGACGTTGTATGTTAGGTTCATTGGTTCCTGGCGAAATTGCCCCTGGTGTGAGTGTGTCTGTGTTTGAGACTGTGAGTGCCCTGTGATGGACTGATGTACAGTTCAGGGTGCACCCTGCCTTGCACCCATGGCTTGCCAAGACAGGCTCTGCCCCCCCCGCTGCGACCCTGTGCTGTATAAAGCGGTTAGAAAATGGATGGATGGAAGGTCAGTAATAAAGGATTTATAAACACAATCCACTTCTGGCACGCCTAGAGTTAGAGTTAATGCTGATCTATGTTGAGCTTCTCAGTCAGTTTTGCTGGTCAAATTAAGAGATACAAGCTGTTTCTGTTGGTCTCCTGTGGTGTATGAGCAATCAGCCACATGGAAAGCATGGCCTATACATCACGAGCTGAGGAGCACAAGAGATGGTAGTTACTACTGTGACTAATGTTACAGTCCCTCCAAGCTGGTAATTTAAATTTTCTGTTTTAAAAGATAAAAGTATATTTAGGTTTTAGATTTGACTGCTTTATAGAAATTTACTGAGCTGTTAATCTGTAAGCTGTAAGTCTCCTGTTCCTTTCAAATGAAAACACTAATAATTTCTTATTGCTTTCTTTCCATAGGTACATTTATATCATAATTGATCATGCATTGTATTTGCAAATGTGTGGTTATTTACTGCTGGATTAAAATGAAAGATAAAAGTTAAAAAACAAATATTACTGTCATAAAATTACTTTTAAAAATTATTGTTGATTATAAAGTTTGCTGCCCACAAAAGACTACTTGAGCTGTATCACGTTTCACATTAGTTGTTTTAGAAACTAGTCTAGCAGTGTTTTTTGAACTCCTTTTAAGCAATGGAATTTATAAAATTGTATTTAAAATCGTCTTCCACTAAGAAACCGAGTCATATTTTCCAATGTTGTGTTTAGAAATTGTCATCTGGATTTTGCTAATGATATTCTGCATTTGAAAACAGCAAGAAATGAGTTGTTCTCATATGTAATGAGTGTTGTGATGATATGAAAATTAGTCATGAAATATTATTAGGTTATAGGAAACATTCTACTTCAATTTTACTTCAGTTCTTAATACAAATATGTTCACTTTCTGTTAACTATTGTTTTTCAGAGGCTGTATTAGGTTCTTTTAATACATTTATAGTATCAAGAAGGCATTCTTTTACTCTTAAACTGAGTAAACCCCTTTTCACCTGAGCAATGCTTGGAAAAATCATTGCAGATTATTTGGTGTTTATTTCTGAAGCATCATTATTGATTTAATTTTTAGTTATGTTAGTAGATTCAGTATCTTTTAGCTGAAAAAAACTATAAACACTTCATAGTAAGGTTCACCTTATAGAAATAAAGGTTAGTCTTGCTTTAGCAGCTAACATATATGATCTATTACCTAAAATAGTAGAGTATATTGAATTTTTACAGCTTTGTTCCGCTTTTCAGGAAAATCATCAGCGAGTGAACATCTTCTTTGATTATGCTAAGAAAACTAAGAACACAGCATGGTCGTATTTTCTTCCCATGCTGAACCGCCAGGACCTTTTCACAGTCCATATGGTGAGTAGTGTTGAAGGTTTTGATTTTTTTTATTTGCTTGTTCTTCCATATTTGAAACCCTTGTGTGAGGTAGACCTAGATTTATGAGAAAGCTACCATCTTGGCTCCAAACTTAGGCATAGTGGTATGGCCTTGAGCCAAGATGGCCAACTGTTAATTAGAAAAACCTGCAAAATGAGGCATGGTTGTTCTGAATGACTACTTAACACTCGGAGGGAGTACATTTACATGTGATGCAAAGCAGCTAGGACAGGCCTTGTGTGGAATTAGCCACTCCTTCAGGTTAATTAACAAGCTTGTAAGCTTATAATGCTTTTAGGTTTAGGATTGCAAACTTTATCATTTTTTTTAGGAGGAAAATGGTTTTGGTTTGTATCTACTCTCCAGCTTGAAAGGTGAGAGTAAGAGCTCCGTAGGGGAATTCTCATTAGGAAAAAGGTGGGCTGGCTTATAGGCCCATGAGACTCTGTGACCTGATGGAGGGATGGCTTGAGAAAATATGTCTCAGGCTGTATCGAGTGGTGTCATAGGTTCTGGATAGACAGGCTCTGTGACGGTTTGTTTGCCAGGATCAATGGGAATAAAGCTTGTTGTCAAGGAACTGTGATTGGCAGCTGAACCAGGGCTGACTAGAGGAGTTAATAGGCGATGCCCCATTCCTGAGGGTACTGTGTTAGCAAGTATCTTGTCTCCACAGCTGAGCAACAGCTGAGTCTAGAAGAAACAGGGTGAGCCCTGGCACCCCCTGTGCTTACCATCGGACGAGTGGTCTCAGAGTGTGGGACATTGGAGGGAGAAAACAATAGAGCAGCTGCCGCTGTGTGAGGGACGCAAGTGTTGGTTAAGGAGAGAGATCCCTGGCCAAACAGGATCAGCTTGGAAAGTTAGTGATGAATGAAATTACTGGCTGTTAGTGAAGATCTGGTGCTTGCTGATGAGTAAAAGCAAAGAGTTGAGATAACATCATTGTTTTAGTTAAGATTGCTGTTGGACGACACTGAGTTTTCCTAATGGTATGGTTGTTAAAGTGAATAATGACTGAGAACTGGGCAACATGGAATTAAATTGAGTTGAAACCTCCAGTGTCTGGTGTGTAATGAAGATAGATAATGAAGAGTCAATGAAAAGATCTAGTGACGTGTGTAAGTAGAATCAGTTGAACAAGAGGTGAACAAGGTAGACTCTGGATGATGGCTGAAATATAAGGACAGTCCACTTAAAATGCAAAAATTAAGGTGACACTTTGGAAGTGTTGGAAATAGGGTAGTATGTGTGTTAGTGATTGTGAATTGCAAGCTTTCCTTAAGCTAAGATTCCCTCAGCTTTTTTATCCAAAATCAGTGATGAAGTGAAACAATATTTTTCTTCCTGAGGCAAGTGCAAATAGTATAAAATAATATATCCAACATTAATACCATGGCATACATTTTGCCCTATTCTTGTTTAACTTCTCCCTTTATTATTCATGGTTGGTTCTGAAAGATATATTGGAGATTGAGATTTTCCTTAATGCAGACTTAATATTGTCCTCTTGACTATATTATAAATAGTCAAAACGTGTAGAGAAGCTTTGGAATATTTATTGATTGATATTTTTTGGTTCAAATTAAAACTCAGTTTATTAGGCTGAGTGTTCTAAAAAACTGGATGTTTGCTTGTATTGTAGTTAATAACAGTACATCTATTAACTGCCAAACTGCGTGCCTAGAATTCAGCAAACATTGTATTACTGGACAAATAGAATTGCTTAAATCCAAAGGGGCTGCTTTATAATTATGTTTCTTAATTTTGGCTGTATGCCGACTTTGAAATGTATTAATTACTTTTCTTAGGGATGTAATAAGAGATGTAATTGTTTGGTGCAGGATCATTTTATATTTGAGAAGAATAGACATTAATAATAGGTATGAGAGTTCATTTTGTACAGAACAGTATTAACCTTGATAAATACATGCTTAAGAGCTTGGTCTCATAGGTGTTTTTATTCCCGCTGACACAATTGACACAAGTTTGAACAATTTTGCCTTCTCAGTTATGGTAGTCACACCATTGACAAATCCACAGGCCACAGTACAGCAATATACAAACAATAAACTGGTAGGAATCAATGGAGACGTGATTTTATCGTGCAGAAATAATGGAAAACAACACTGAAACCAAAGCCTTCTGCTGCACTAGTCCTAGAATTTTTGTTGCATGTTAATTTTTCTATATAGACTTTCTTTTATAGTGTCATCTAACTATTGCAAGAAAGATTAACTAGAAGCTATTCCTGACATCAGTCTTGGTAGAAAGGCTACAGAAGAAGCTATTTTGTATTGCCAGAAGGTGAAAAATCCACAGACCTCAGTTTTCTAGTCAATAAATGGTTATATGCAATACAATTCTACACTTCACTAACTCTTTCATATTTGAAAATTCGTTAAAATATTTCCTTTCCCAATATCTGTGCTTCATTACTTCGTTGTACTTTTTCACTTTCTGACAATTTTTTGGAACACAGCATGTGGAGAAGCAAAAATGTTGTCTTCCTTTTGTTTTAATTGCTTTAAATTACATGGTTGTTAGAAAGAAAAAGAATTAGGGGTGTTAGAAAAAATCAAATATTTTTAATTTGACTGATTTGACTGAGTATATTACTGTTAATGAGGATGAAGGAAAAAAGTAACTGAGAAAGCACCATTCTCAAAGGAGGTATCAACATTTTTTTGTGTTTTTTTATGATCGAGAACAAAATAATTCTCGATGTACCTGTAATAGATCTGATTGAACATTTACAGTTAAATTGCCAACCTGTAACAGCACAAATGCACACTTACTCTTAATAACAGCAGCATTAAGGTAAGTAATAGCGACAATGTTTAAAGATCCTGCCAAAATGCAGAGATTGTACAATTAATTTCGGTCCACTGGTGATCACATTTCCATGTTATATTTTTAATTTACTCCATTTACAACCATTGTTAGAAATGTATTGTATCTGTCTAATTTGTATAGCTGATATTTGTGTTAAAAAGGGATTTGTAATATTGTTGATTGTGAAATACTTACTTTTCTGATTGTTTAATAAAACGGAATAATCCATCTACCCCCAACAGAACCTTGCTTTGTTGACCTGATACTGAAATTTTTTAATCAAGGTTACACTACTGCAATGGTTCACTCACTGAGGTATCACCTAAATATGAAACAGGCTTCAGTAAATCCAGATTCCTACATCTTTGCTTATAACAAAAAGTATTCTGGATTAGTATACTGCTCTCATCTTCTATAAATGACACATTTCTCAATGACATTTAGAGTAGAATTTACTGGCAGGTGGGCACTGAGTGAATTAGCATCAGAGTTATTGAATTTTTGCTCCCTTTTGCCTCTTTTTTTTCCATTAGATGTGTGCTGTTGTACAGTGCTTCTCAGCTTTTTGGAAAGTGCTTATGAATAAAATGTATTTTTTACCTTGTTTAAATTGCCTGTTTATCAATATTTCACTGCAAAAAATCTCACAGATCTATAATTCCATACAGTATTCTCCTCTGCCTTTAATATTTATGCTCTACAGAAGATGCCCTAATTAAACATGTGTGGTAAATTTAGATTTTAGTGTGGAAATACCTGGAACATTTTATTTTTGTGTTAGAGATGTATTTCGGAATGGTATTGCTACTGGTACTGTATATGCTATTTGATAGCCTGAAACAGGTTATTTACATAACTACGAGTGCTATTCAGAATCTGCTGTGCCTCCAGTGGGTGGCAGCAGATTCTGCTATCTTCTGCAACCTTTGACGCTTTGTGGGCTAATTTCTGTCTTTAATTATGATTCATGCTTGACTGGCTTAATTTACACAAAAAAAGTAAATTATGATGCTCCAAATGATAATATGAGAATTCAATGCATAGATTAATATTTTATCTTTGTCTAGTGATAAATTAAAGATTTATGATTTCATTTGATGCTTAATTTAATGTTCTGTGTGGAGAGCCAACTGATACTGTGACTGGAGTGTATCGTATGCTCATACATCTGCTCACATTTTTGATCCTCCTCCATTTTTCCAAATAAAATGCAACCTTTAGTTCTTTGCAGTACTGAAATGGTAAAAGAGCAAAGCATATTTAATATATGTGTATTGTAACACAGTTAGGTCATGTTGTATGAAAACATTAAGGGTTATTATTCCTTAAGGGTATAAGAATACGTATTGTGATTTAGGCCCAGCTATATCTGTAGGGAATCGGATTTCCTTAAGTCTCAAGTGTTAAGTCTAACAAATCTTAGTATTAAGGGATAATTCGTTGTTCAGGCTTATTTAATGTAACAACAGGAGGTGTAGTATTAATAAATCAGAGTTGGTATGGACACGTATTCAGGAAAGGCACTTGTTTTGAGCACAGATTGAGCCCTGTAGTCCAATCTGACATGTCTTTTCCATCTAATACAGTATTATATGCCTTACGCTTCTATCTGGACTACTCCAAGTGGCATTGTATAGCTGGCTAAGGATGCCTTAGGTGTAGTGGGCTTGAGCTGGCCAGAATCATCTCAGAGCTGATTTTACGAACAATACTAACATCTTGAATGCCCTCATAGCCACAGAGATCCTCCTATTAATACCACTGTCAGGCATTGCGGCTTTTTCCGAGTGAAAAATGACAGATGGTCCATCAGTGTGCTTTGGAGATACCACGCATAGTCTCCCTTCTGCGTGCTGGTACAAGGGCTCTAAGGGTGAGCTGAGTGGAATGAAAGGTAGCAATTATAGGTTGGGTTGGTATTAAAAGAAAGATTGTAAAATTAGTTTACCTGGCTTCTGTTTTTCTGTTTCAGTATTTTATTATTAATGAGACTACCAGACCATTTATCTGTTTTCTGATTTGTGATAGCAGATATTTTCTGTTTTATCTTAGTTTTAAGTTTAAATGTCTTAATTGTTTTAACATCACATACTGTACATAATTACCTCCTCATTATGCTAGCCGGACGTTTTTGATTATTGGAGTGGTGTGATGACATCTTGGAGGTCACAGACACGAAACCATTTCCTCACGTCATTCAAAATCGGCCATGAATTTTGCAAGGCTTTACGTATGATATACCGTGTATTGATCTCTGGCATTTATGATGGCGATACGATAGCAGTTTGTCTGATTTTTCAGAAATATGTTTTGTGTCCAAGCAGCTGTTTTACACACACCCTTACAAAAAACCTACAAACAGTGCATATTAACATTACATAAAAATAATTATAACATAAAAGACATCAGCCCATACATAGTCATTAAGCTCCGCTCCAACAGGAATCCACAGAGTTTACCAGAACCTGTAAATTGACTTGCCCACAATCAGCCTAAGTGCCTGTATATTCCATATACATTATTATAAGATGGAAATGTCTTGATAAGAGTGGCTCAGCAGGTCTTTGCTTGAGTGTAGGTTGAGATCTGTTCATATCAATAAGCAACAAAGCGAGAGTGTGGTGCTGGGTGAGCCCCAACAGAAAAGGACTGGGACTGGTCAGAGCTTTCTCTGTTTCCAGTCAAACAGTGACCCTGTGATTTCCTGCCTCTTATTGTACCTGTTCCTGTCGATGTACCTGTCCTCCAGTCAGTTCTGAAACTCCTGTATGTGAGTTTGAATCCTTTGAAGAACAAATGTCTCACGAAGTCTGGTTTGGAGGGATCTACACTTGCTGCTTCACCTTGTATATGGTCTAAGGGTTCTTAACCCTGTGATCTGCTGATTATAACCAAATTGGCAATTCCAAATTGGTGGATGCGCAAAAAACAACTTCTTCAATTCGGAAGAAAAACTTGGTACTTCTGCTCCATTTCTTTCTGCTTTTCCCGTTGTGATTTAAAAATACAGTGGAGATAATTAGGTTACCTCGTATCTACATTTGTTGAGCAATGCAATACATAGAAATAATGTTAATATTTTAGTCCCCTTTCTGTTGTTCACTGTTTTAAAACAGATGAGACATACAAGCAGTTGTGAGCCAATTTCTTTTTCAAAATAAATGTATGCTCTTGCACAAACTGAAATGATTTAGTAGAAAGAAATGTGCTGTACATTTTTAACTTTCCTTATGTTAAGGCAATGCGTCTGTGTGCATTTAATCATAACAAAGTAACAAGTGTGAAATACAGTACATGGCACCAGGTGTTGGTTTATTTAAGAGCTTCCACTATTAAATCCCCAAATTGTTCTTCCCCTTTGCAGTGGGAGTCTTATCAGTTTCTCAGTCATATTTTCGAAGAATATTGTGCTGATTCTCAGAACTCAAATTATATATGGCACTTCCACAGAAAATGTTTCTATGCTGTGTTCTCTTTGGAAATCAAGGGCTTTTTTTTTTTTTTGCTATTGCTTCCTGATGGCCTCAATTATAAGGAACCCTTGTGGCTGAGCTCTTTGCAACCTTATCTGCATGTCATCTGTTAATTTTCTCAGTGAGGTTCTTAGTGATCTCCTGCTTTTTTCAGTGCAATTATTTTTATGCATCTTACAAAGTCTTTACGCAGTCTGTTATTTTTTCTTTGTCGGCATTGCTTATTTTCTAAGATTAGTTGTGTTGTACTTGTCCAAACTGTACTTTGAACTTCAAACCAAACATATTGTCACACAATGCTAGTTTTTTGGTCTGTCTTGGGAAGCCATTCTATTGTATACCTAACTTCAGGAAAACCTTGAGGTTCAGTTATCTAAAGAGAACTCTGTGATATTGAAATGATAAGTTTCCTGTGTGGAAGTGTTATATAACATAATGTGCTCTAATCTTAACTTATGAAAAGCCTGCTGTATTATATGCTGACTGTTTTCAGGTGGAATGGTTTGATTCCTGCAGCACAACAAAGAGGCACTATAACACGCACAGTTGGGTATTATTCTTAATAATAAATAAGGATCTTTCCACACTTCCAAAATATACATTTTCACCACAGCCTGTTCATGTGGAGTATTGGTTTCCATGGAATAGTGTTAATTCCTTATGGTTTTAAATTCATTGTGGTATTCAAGCCACTTTTAAAATCTCTACTCCCAGCAGCCACATCTGTAATCATGTTTAGAGTCCCTGTGGAGATGTCAGTCTTTAAACCTATTTCATCCACATACAGTACAATGCCTTGTAAAAGCATTCAACCTCTATCAATAAATGTCATATTTGAAAGAATAAAATATTCATAATTATATAAAGGCAGAATAAGAAATGTTTCTTAACCTACGTCTCCAGTGGTTGCTTTTTAAATAAATCAAATATGGTAACCATTGTAGTGTATCAACCTGTTGATACATGTCTTACATTGCTTAATAATAATACAAAATGTGCCCAAGGACATTATTAAAATTAATAAATAAGTATAATAATGTTTCTATTTTTTCTCAAAATAACAGTTTTCTGTTTTAAGCGGCTTTATTTCTATGTTCTTTTTTCAAAACCTGCTGTGTTTGAAACTGTGAATTCTGTTTTCTTTGATAGGTTCTGTGTTACACAGTATTTTTAGAAGAATAAATCCCTTTGCATTATGTACAGACTTTATCTCACAACAGAACTGGCAATTAATAGCTTTCAATGTTTTTAAACTGTAATTTGCTTGTACCCTTTCAGGATCACACTACGTTCATGGGTATTACTTTTCCAGCTGTACTGGAAAGTGCTTGCATTACAAAATAATAACAAAGTACATTGTGATGATTTAAGTAATTGTAGTGTATCCAGGTTTATTTGAGTTAATTGTTGAATTTGGATTTGCTGGAATATGGCTATTAGTAATGCTTGATCTTGACTGCAGGCTTACATTTGAGAAACAGAAGTAAATCTTTTTTTTTCTATCAGTTGGAGAATCTGATGTTTTTCTTCCCAAAATCTTTATGGAATCCTAGTCTCATTTTATTTGTATATACAGTACATTCACATATAGTCTTTTACCTGTACAGGATAAATAATTTGGTGTGAACACACCACAAAATGACGTATTCACTAAATGCTTAATAATTTTTAAAATAAACATTTTTGATGCCACTTTATAAGTCAGAACATTTGATTTATAGATGCTGAATGTGAATTAAAAGATCTTTTTAATCTTATGTTCAGATGTACTGTCAGAAGAACATCATGGTTACAGGTGAGAGGAGGCCATTTAGCCCATTTCTCTAAATTATTTTTTAGCAATTTTAATTTTTCCAAGTATCACATCACATTCCGCTCTTTATTGGAAAAAGCCAGGGTGTTAATTCCTGGGTGGATTGTTCTCGGTACCACTTGATTCTGTTGATTCTGAAGGGTGTATTTTATCAGTGTCTTTAGGGATTTTGACTATTTGATTTAGGTTCCTTCGCAGTATTCTCTGTTCAAGGCTAAAAAGATTCAGCCTGTGAGTGGATGCCAATTACCACCTCTGATCACCTAACAATGCAACATGTTTAAACCAAACAATTAAGTGTTTAAGGGTTGGAATGAAGGAGCATTTTCTGAATGTTCCCTGAATTTTGTTTTTTCTTTGTTAAAGGCTGCAAGGATTATTGCGAAGCTAGCTGCCTGGGGAAGAGAACTGATGGAAGGCAGTGACCTGAATTACTATTTTAACTGGATCAAAACTCAGCTGAGCTCCCAGGTATTTCTTTTCATATTTTTATGTACAGTATGTGTTGAAGAAGGATTAAATATTATAGTTGTAAAAGATATTTAATATAAGTTTTCTGGTTTTAGAAATGCAGTTGTTATTGCGTTGTTGATTACACTGGTCTGAAATCATTATGCTAAAATTGTATCAGTGTACTCAACACTCGTGACATAAAACTACACTAAATTATTTTATCTTATTGTTTTAGATCAGAAATCATCTACACCTGATCAGTGGAACTTATAGTCCATTAAACAATCGTTCTTGATGTTTTCTCATGGTTTGTGATTTCTGGGGCATGTCATTTTTCCATCTTGACATGAATGGTCTTCAGACATTTTTGTCAATAAATCATGAGAGATTCAGAATGGCATTGTGAAGATCAATTTGTCAGTATTTGTCTTTTAGATGCACTCTTTTTTTGAGTCATCTAAGAGAAACATGATTCAGCTGACCTTGTTGCATCTTTTTGTCAGTATTCTTTGCAATATTCTTCAGTGTGTT